ACCTTTCAGAATGTTTGGTGCTCCAGAGCCCTGACCCTTTTTTTCCTTTTCTTTTTCTTTCCTTCCTTCCTTTCTTTGCTTTTTTTTTTTTTTAAGATTTATTTATTTATTTATTTATTTATTTATTTATTTATACATGCACTGGGTACAGTCAGAAGCACGGGAGGGTGAGAGAATTCACCAGAGCCAGAGCGGGGAACAGAACAGGCAGAAGGACCGAAGTACACTGCTGAGGGGAGCAGCGGGCGGCAGGAGAGGTCTGCGTGCCATGCGGGACCCTCACCCAGTGGCCAGGGAGCAGCCGGGGATCGAACCGGCGCTGCAGAGGCTGCGGGCAGCCTCGCAACCCAGCGCTCAACCGCTGCACCACCGGGGAGGCCCTCTTTGCTCTTTTTTAATTGCAATTCTGCATTCTTTTTCTGGCCGATTTATTCTCCCTTCTCTTTGTCTCCACTCCCACCAGAGGCCTATGCTGGGTATGGCATGGCTGCGGCCCTCCAGCCTGCAGCCCAAGTGGCCTCTGACATTTTCTCCCATGTGAAGAGGGCGAGGAGGCCTTCAGGACTGTGAGGAAAGAGGGTATTTCTAGGGTAAACATGTTCTTCCCCAAAAGTGGGAATTTAGGGTTTAGGAGAACTTTATTGAAAATTTGAGGGAAATAAGATAAAACCCTCTCTATTTTTCCTGTTTTTCTAATGTAAGAATGAGTGTCTCTCAATGGAACGAGCAGATACATGAAACATGGACATTTAATAAGTCAATCAACTTGTGTGCAATTAAGTGAGGGCTGAAGTGCTTGGAAAACGTGTTTCCAAACTAGCCCCGACCAAAGAACCCCGAAAACCAGAGAATTCCAGTCTACCCTGTGAGATGGACTTTCCTGCTCCCAAAGCACACTTTTTCCCCTTAATACAAATCTTCTACAACGTGTCATCTGTGCCTGAGAAAATTAAACTGTGGAAGAGTCTCTTTTACTGTGGCGCAGCCATATGCCCTGCTTCAGGCTGCCATATGTCGCTCTCAAAAGTATACAGAGGGGTTTGCACAAGAGCTGGTTTAGAAAACCAAGCCTTTGGTAAGCATTTGGTGGACCTTACTGATTTTTAAAAATGCGTATCTCATTTAAATATGATTGTCTCTATTAATGGAGGCCTAGCCCACATTTACTACTCAGCAAATATTTGCTGGATGAATGATGAGGAAGCATCACCAGGAAAGGCGTAGGCAGGCAGAATTCATGGGCCTCCATTCATCACAAGCCTGCAAATCTCACTGGGAGCAATCCCACAGTCTCATACGGGCACTTGTTTGTGTGGTGTCCCCTCTTCAGAGAACTCCGACCTTCAAGTCCCCTGACAGCTCTATTTCCCTAACTTCTGAGGGTGGTGTTGTGGCCACGTTCAGCTGCTTCAGTTCTCTGAGGCCGGACTGCGTCTGCAGCGGATGGTCTTGTGCGTAGGGAGGGGCCGGGGCAGGGCCAGATGGCAGGTAGGAAACCGGCACCAGGAAGCCCTGTCCCGGAGCTCATGGTAGCCATTATTCGTGAGTACTTACTGAGGCCGTCGTGCCGAGAGCTTCCCGTCTGTGGGCGCAGCTGACCTTCCCAGTGCCTCTGTGAGGTGGACTTGGGTGTTCGTTTCACTGAGGAAGTAGAAGGCAGAGCCCTGGCTGAACTTCCGTTGCCAGCGGGATGATCTGACCACAAGAAACAGCCATTTATCTTTAAAGTTCATTGCCAAATTTGTTTTTTAAATGAAAGAAAAAAGGGGTTAGGGAAGCTCCAGAGTCTAGAAGCAAGGGTGGAGCCAGCGCCGCCATGCTGGAATACTGAAATGGGTCAGTCTGGTGTCCAGGAGCTCACGGTCTTGGGAGACGCGGGCTTGCAGTGAGTTTTCTGGGTGAGCACAGAAGAGTTGTATTTCATCACATTTTTCATTTAGGAAGTAGCTCCTAAAAGTTTTCTTCAGGACTCAAAGAGCCTATCATACCTCAAAGAGAAGAGCTCGATGAAAAGCAAAAAGAGTAAATACAATGTAAGGAATGCTTATAACCTGTTTGGGTTTTTTTAAAGATTTAATTAAAAAGCATTTAATTAAAAAGTTAAATTCAAAAGAAAGAAAGAAAGGAGAGTTCAGATTCAGAGTCAGCTTCTTCACTGGCAGTGTGACCTTGACCAAGTGACTTTACTACTTGGAGCCTCTGGTTCCTTCTCTCTAAAGTGTGGGTGATGGTGACGACAGTGGCTGCTTGGTAGAGTTTGGAAGATTCTGTGACACATTCCTGGAAAGCATTGAGTCCAACACCTGGCACTCAGTAAATGGCAACTGGAATTATTCACCATCATCTTCATTTAATATAAATATTAATAATAATAATAATAATAATAATAATTCCTGGCTAACGTTCCCCAGGATGAGAGAACAAGAGGCAGTTCTTCCTAGGTGCCACAGAATGGAGTGTTTATAAGGAGGTAAAAGACTGGCTTCCAGGGGCTGCTTTGGTGGTAAACAAGAGCAGGCAAGAGCTAATAAAATTTCAAATTAGCCATGACTTTTCACGGTCCTTCAATTGTGCTAGCTGATTTAATGGTCAGCGTCCCTGCTCACTGGGATTGAATAATGGAGCATTTCTGCAGAGTTATGGATGCGGCAGCTGAATCTGTCATGCTAACGTCAATAGCAGAATGCAAATAACCCTCAACTTGGGCTGTAATTATGTGTTTAAGCAATGTCTGACAGGGGCAGTGCAAGAGTGTGATGGAACCCGCTGACTGCAGGGGAAGACAGGTGCTCTGCCAGGCAGTACTTGGTATCTCTGGGACCTGACACCCCTGCCACAAGTTAGAACCCAGGACAGTGCTGAGATGAGGGAACCCCCTTCTCCCAGGTCAGGACACATCTGGCAGACAAGCAGACAAAAATGGCCCTTTGCTTTGATGAGCGGTGTTCTAGGTTCCTGGTCAGGAAGGGGAATTGTTCCTTATTCAACATTTCCTACCTGTCAGTTACTCTGCTGGATTTGGGGACATGGACTGCATTTTTATTTATCTAACAAATACTTCTAGGACACTCTGAAATGCTAGGTGGGAAGCTATGTAAGCTAGGTGGGAAGCCAAGGCCAGCGAGTTTAAGTAATTCACCCAAGGTCACACAGTGTATGTTTCAGAGCCAGGATTTGAGCCCACTCTAACTCTGTAGTCGATACTCATATCGCCCCTGGGCAGTCCTCAAGAATACAAGTGCAAGCACACCACTCAGACATGGACGAGAAAAGCCAGGGAGTTTCGTGCTTAATTTATTGAGGAAAAACCCCTAGATGTGAGTGAGATCAGGTAGCTTACCTGAGGCCACACAACTGGTTAGGAGTCTCAAGGGTGCCTCCTGTGCAGATGGGGCACCCCTTCTAGCCAGTGCATAGGCAGTGTCCTGCTGGGCAGCCTGTGTCATAAGCCCCATGGAGGCAAGGGAGCCGCAGAAGATGGGGACCCAGGGAGGTTACCTTCAGGGACTCATCTACAGTCCCTGCTGGGGATAGTTCTGGAACTTGAACTTCAGTGTCTGAGCCTCATGATCCCCCCATCATACCACGGTGTTAAAAATGTTCAGTTGAATGGAGATGTGGCTACTGACTCTTTATGGACTGGCGTTTGGTTACATCCCCGGCTTCATTTGTTTATTATCCCATTCCATTTTCATTCATGTATTTTATTCATTTATTTAACAGTCCTGTCTTAAACACCAGTACTACATGCTGTAGCCACACCAGATAACCAGATACAACAGATAGATACAACAGATAACCAGATGGGATCTGGACTCCAGAGTGGTAAAAGTTTGCCCAAAGTCACATAGCTAATGAACACCTGGAGACAGAATCTGAACCCAGGCAGGAAGACAGGCAGTTAATAACACACACACAGTACATGACTGTAACCCTGGGCTTGTCCTGTTTGCACTTTGGGCAATAGGCCCTAATCCCTGGGTTTGTTACCCATTTTAAGTTATTCTGTCAGGTGCCTCTAAAAGTACTTTAGGATAATACAATCAAAAATCTATAGTCTTGTAGAATTTCTTTCTTTGCACTTTATGAAGCTAGAGGCTGTAATATAATTTTCAGCCCTGAAGCAATTCATCCATGTAGAAAAGCAAATTCCCTGTTAATGCCAGCTTGGTCAAAGACCTGAAACCTCACAACAAACGTAAAAAGCCCCAGATCTCAGAAGGCCACGGCGGGCAGCAGGGGAGCCTCCATGCACTCACATTGCAGCTGAGAATGACTGATGCTGCCTCCTGTCTGTCATCCTACAGCCCATCCGTCCTGTCATGACCAGGCCTTATCATTTCTACCTCTGAACATCTCTCAAAATCTTCTCTCCATCTCCATTGTTATTACTCTAGTCTCAACAACCATTGTTTCCCCCTGTGTAACCTCAGCAAGCACACGCATGCGCATGTGTGTGCACACACATGAACAAACACACACATAGTGTCCCCAGATTCCACCTGGCCCTTTTCAATCTTCTCTCCTTGTTATAGATGTTCTTTACAGTACTAACCAGATGAAGTTACTCCCTGCTCAAAACCTTGCATTGTTCTGACAGTGAAATGCAAACTCCCAACCTGGTCCAGGAGACCCAGCCCGTTCGCTCCTGCCAGCCCTGCAGCCTCAGCGTGGGTCAGCATTTGAATTTAGCAACTCAAATGTTCATGTTTCTGTCACCTCTGGATCTTTATATATGGAATTCCTTCTGTCTCTCTGGGGGGAAAAAAAGAGCACATGTCACTCTGTGTACTTATTTTTTGTCTCTCCTTTTAGCGGGCTGAGACCAGATCTGAATCGCCTGGACCTTTCTGGTGCCCAGCAAAGGCCTTGGCTTATGTATCAGGCACTTCATAAAGTTTTCCAGTGAGTGGAAAATAGAGAAGTGATTGGAGGCATCGTGGGCGAACATGGCTCATTGAACACAGCGCTATAAACTTAACGCTCTGTCTCCCCTGCAGATGGCTTGGTGGACTGCATGGATCCTGACTGCTGCCTCCAGCCCCTCTGCCACATCAACCCTCTGTGCCTGGGCTCTCCCGACCCGCTGGACATCATCCAGGAGACACAGGCCCCCGTGTCCCAGCAGAGCCTGCACTCTTTCTATGACCGCATCAAGTTCCTGGTGGGCAGGGACAGCACACACATCATCCCCGGCGAGAACCCCTTTGATGGAGGGTGAGTCCCCAGGGCCCCAGCTCTGTCTGTGGCTCTCTAAGGGAGAATGCGCCCCCTCCAGGACTGTGTTTGGTTGCCTGCGGTGGGAGGAGGCCAGGAGGGTGGGCACCACAGGCTCTCGGGGGGGAATGTCAAGGCAGGCAGACCCACATTTAGAAAACTGCTGTCCAAGGCATTTGGAATTTTACGAGCGAGTTTTGTTGTTCCCGCTGGGTGATAGATGGAGAGAGTGAGAAATCAAAGGTCCAGGGGGGATCTTGGATCAATACCCACTTTACAGTCAGCTCTTACTGACTCCACAGTCTGCAGACGAGCTGAAAGGTTCTGACACCAATCACCCTCCGCGCTGATGTCCAGAAAACTTTGTTAGGCTGGGGGTGGAGTGTCTGTTGACATCCCAGGCCGTATCTCACCCATTATTTCTTTTCTCAGTTGTGTCATCTATTAGACAATTTGTGCCAGGCCCTGTGCTAGAATCACAGAGATGACTAGAACATGGTCTCTGCCGTTGATCACTCACACTTACCAGGGAGACAAAAAGGGATCGTTCCCATGTGATAGGCCAGATGTAAGCCCCAGGGTTACATAAAGGAGGCTTTTCTGGTTAGCGGGTGAGAGCTGAGTCTTAAAGGTGGGAAATTGTTAACTGGCTAGAGAAGGAAAGGCTGTTCCAGTAGAGGAAACACTTGCACAGACTCAGGGGCACAGAAGGGCACTGGAACCAGGCTGCCCCACAGGTCAGAGAATGAGAACTGGGAAAAGGTAGCCAAGAAGGAGAGACTTGCAATCATTTCTTTGGAATGTCTTCCAGCATTGCAAGGCCTCGTATATGGGGATCTTCCTCAAAGTCAGTATAGTCAGTTCAGCACCACAGACTGTGTGCCTTCTGTGTTAATGATTTATGTGCCAAAGATGCTCTACCCAAGGGAACAATGAGGTAGCGATGAGGGGTGGGACAGCCTCAAGTGCTATTAAAAGGGGAAAATCGGCAGGGCTTACTCACTGACTGGGTCTCAGGAAGGCTGGGGAGCAGAGTCTGTCTCTGACGTGTAGGTCCACAGTGGTGCTGTCACCAGAATGGGGAGCTGAAAGGAGGAGCAGGTAAAAACCTCCACCTTGAGCAGTGTAAGGGCGAGGAAGACCCCCCTCATTAGAACACGCACAAGGAAATACCTATTTGTTGTTACCAAGCATCTCCAGAGCTTGCACAGAGGTTAGGGCTGGAGATCTTGATTTGGGAGCCAGCTGCAAAATAGCAGTTGTTGAATCTATGAGCAGACACTTTGCCCAGAGAGCACGGGTGAGAAGAGATGAGCAGGGTCCGAGGAAGGAATCGCAGGGAGCTGCCCTGGGAGGTAGTATTACCATCCCCCTCAGTGCAACTGAGAACCCCAGAAGGGGCTGATGGAACTGGATTCACACCACAGGCCCCTTGGCCTCCAAGAGCCCATGTTCCCTCCACGGGCCAGCTCTTCCTCACAAGAAACAAAGACATGAGAAAACTGAAGTGGGCCAAGTGCTGTGAGTGTGTGAAAGTGTTCAAACTTGGACCTTGTTAGCAACTGAAGTACTTTATAGTACAAACCCTTCAGTCAACCCCTAAAAAGTTGAGAACCTCAGAGGTTGACTTTCCCAAATTCACAGGCAGAGCCAGAAGCAATAATAGAGAAGAAAAACCTTTTCATTTTATCTTGGCCAGAAGTACCACTTTTGTCTCTGGGTAGGAAACTTGTTCTTTTATTCCATTGTGTGATATTGCCTGTATGCTTGTGGGCCTTCCTGTGGCCTGAGTTATTTTAATCAACTGGAGATATAAATACCATTCCAACTAAGGGGGAGATTACTTGCTTAGCCTGTCTTTGCTGGGCCATTGTGGGATCTAGTCAGAGCAATGGCTCATTGGCTGCCAGTGGGGCACCAATCCCAGGTCATCCCAGTCATTAACAGCAGGGATGGCCACTGCCTGTCCTTGGCCACGCACCGGGCCTACTGTGCCATGGAGACCTGCACAGGGATTTTAGGATTGTTGCTTCAGGAGGTCTGACTTCCTGAAGGAGACTGTCAAGTGGGAAATTTAAGTAACCTATACCCAGGGAAGTGCTGCTCTCAGCAGCAGGCCTTGGGATTCAGGCCAACTTGCATTTCAGGTCCTGGCTCTGGACAGTAGCTTAATATAGCAAATATGTAAATGTCAATCCTCTTACCTGAGTCCTCCAGGAGAGGGCGGCGTCTTACTCGTTTAGCACTTAGTAGTTGCTCAAGACAGATATGCAGGAATATCTTGCCTTACACAATGAAGAAATGAAAGGACAGAAAGAGAAAGGGAGAGAGGGAGAAATTAATATATTACTTATTCTACTTAATTTTATAGTGAGGATTCAATGTCCAGAGCTAAAAATCACATTACAAGTTAGTAACAAAAGCAGGAATAGAAGTTGACTCCCAGTTATTGTTTCTATATCTGCCACCTTCAGTTAAATTACAAGTGCTTTGAAAGCAGAAGCTCTTTCTCCAAACCTATAATACTTAGGGTAGGATATGGAATACAGTATTTGCTCTACAAATGAATGGATAATGAAAGCTTCCAAATGTTACTTTGAAAATCCTTTTACCTAACATTTGTCTGAATTCTCATGTCCCTGCTCAGCACTGAGCTGGATTGAGAAGCAGCCACTAGCTCTCACTGCTAAGTAGCCCCACACACATTGTTATGTAAAATCCCCCAACTGACTAGAAAACTACAGAGAGGCAGCTAATGCTTTTTTTCCTTAGACTTGTTTTTCGTTATCTTGATCTGGGCCAGTAAAACTGTGCTTACCAGGATGGTTGGGATGAAGTCAAATTGGTTACCAGGTCTGGGTTGATGCTTTCTTTCCTCTCATTTGAAGGAGTACAGTGTAATAGAAAGTGCCCAGGATTTGAATCTTGACTGTTATTCCCACTAGCTTGAGGAGACCTCAGGAAAATGATTCAACCTTTGTACACATGCTTGCAATTATAAATCAGCAATGATTGTAGCACAATTTATAATAACCAAGTTATAAAAATAACCTAAGGACGATGAATGGATTAAGAAGATATGGTATAGACACAGTGGAATACTACTCGGCCATGAAAAATGAACTCTTACCATTTACAACAACATGGATAGACCTGGAGGGGTGATTGCTATGTGAAATAAGTCAGAAGTCAGCGGATACCTACTAGGGGTGGCTCCACTTCACTCCCACTCAGGGCCATGCTGATGTGAGGTGTCACTAGACACATCACATGGGTCATGCTGATGTGAGGTGTCATTTCTATGTGGAATATAGAAAAACTAAATATAAGGTCAGAGAAAGTCAAACTGAACAAATCCTAGCAAACCGACTATAGAATTGATGCTACCTGAGGGGGATGGGAAGTGAGGGGGAGAGGGTGATAGCAAGGTGGGAAGGGAGCACCGTGGACTCTGGTTATGGACTCTGGGTGTTTTGGTGATGGGTGCAGTGTGATACACCTGAAGGGAGAGATCCTATCCCTCTAAAACACAAACAACATTGTAAACTAATGTTAACTCAAAAGAAAAGAAAAGAAATAAGTCAAAATGTTACAGGGCAGAGAGCAGGGCACCCCAGAACCTCCAAATCTTCCCATTCTAAGTAGGTTCTGCCATCCACCACATCAAGACAAAACCCACTCTAGCGCATAAAACCTTCAATGGAAAGGAACTTTAATACAATTAGTGTGCAATACAGAAAAGGGGAAGAATGAAGTTTCCAAACAAGCACCTGAAGTTGCCCATCCCCACATTGGTAAATGCCAAGCAGGGTTGGCCCAAAGCAGGGCCACTGAGGTCTGAAAGCTGTGGGGACCCGTAGGAAAGCGGCAGAAGGGGCCAGGCACATCTAAGACAGGACCAAAAGCAAAACCAAGATAAAAGCTACCATTGTTAACGTCCCCCTGGGTCTCTCACCCACATCTGTTTCACCCAGTCCAGGGCCAAGAAGCAAGTGCAGCTTCTTCACATGTCTCTCTGCTCCATGTGCCTCCTCCAGGGCTCCTCTTGCTCTTCATCCTGCTTCCTTCCTTCTCCCCTCTCCTCCCCAGCTTCTCCTCCCTGCTCAGCTCCACCCTCCCTTGGGTGAGGCAGGGCACATGGAACCTCCCTTTTCCTGGGGACCACCCTGTTACAAGAAGAAAAAAGACAAATACTGATGGTTTCATTTATACATGGAATTGAGAAGCAAAACAAAGGATCACACCAAACCAGACTAATGATACTCCTAGACATCCAATAGTAGAACTGAGGCTACCCCAGGGGAAGAGGGAGAAAACAAAGTGGGGAGAGGGCACATGAACTGTGGTTGAAGACTGCAGGAGCCTTGCTGATGGGTGTGGTGTGGTGCCACACATCCAAGCAGGAGTGTCCTCTCCCCCCGAGTCCCATGCAGCGTTGTCAACCAGTGTTGCCTCAGCGAAATAAATTTTCGATAGTCATAGCCATTGCACGAAAGCCTTTGAAAGGATGAACTGAGTAAGGACTTGGTGGCTGGAAACAGATCAACACAGGTGATCAGTAAAAATTACATCAGTTCTCAACCTAGTGCTGGCCACTTGCGAGTTCTGTGCTGCTGGTGGTGATATTAAAAAGAAGAGCTTCTCATTCTGCTTCCTTAGTTGGAAGTGAAACTTGAGAGTAACCTGCCTTCTAGAAAAGTCCAGCAGCCAACAAAGAGAAACCAGGTTTAGTTGCCGAATCCTTATTTGAGGGAGGGAAGCAGCAGCACCTGCCAGAGGTTGTCAGCAGGGAGGCTTATTAGGGAGGAATTCGGTGGCATTTCCCCAGGGAGTGGGATTTCTGACGGGCAGGCCAACCTGACTGGGTACCTGTGTATAACAATAACAAGTCCTGCACCTGACAGAAAACCCATATCCTCTTATACCCCATGTGGTGTACCACAAAAGTATCATCTGAGTGGGTTCCATTTAACAGGCACCATGAAGCAGGCTGTTACCCA